AATTCTGCTTAAGTCCAAAAGTCCAAATACCCCATATGTCATCTCAAATACCAACGTAAAAATCGAAAGAACTGTGGATGCTGTAAATCAGGAACAAAAACAAAGTTGCTGGAAAAGCTCAGTAGGTCTGGCAGCATCTGTGAAGAAAAAAATCACAGTTAATGTTTCAGGTCCTGTTCTGAGGAAGGGTCACTGGACCTGAAATGTTAACTGTGATTTTTTTTCTTCACAGACGCTGCCAGACCTGCCGAACTTTTCCAACAAATACAGACATATTGTTACTATGTGATTGCATCACCCAATAAATGTGTTAGTGAGAACAAAAAAGTAACCCCTGAAAACAAAATGGTAGACCCTAATAAACACAAAAAAAACCCTCAAGAAAATCTGAAGGGGATCTCTTGGAAAAAAGAAATATTTTGACCCCTGGTAGTGTCAGGACCATGTATTTTTATTTTGTGCATGGTTTAAAATTGTGGATAGAAATGGGGAGGGACTGTTTTAAAATCTATGTTTTGAAAGGATGGCTGCATTGTTTGAAAGTGAGTAATCTTATACCCATGGCAAGTATTGTGTTTGTACAGCTGTTTGAACAAGCAATAACTGAAGTGGTTGCAGATGAATTGAAGCCAACAGATTCTGTGTACAGATGCAGCTGGGTGGCAACAAGAAGTTGATTGGTCTATGGACTAATGATGACAAGAACCTTTTGCTAGCGAACAGCTATGTGATTGGTTTTCAGGTAACTGAACTGCTCAAAGCTGGAAACAAGTTACAAAAAGGGATTTGATCTCCAACAGCTCAGAAGCAGTCTTTCTGTTCTCTGCAGTTAAAACTGACATTAAACCGGAAGAAAACAAGCAGTTGTTGCAAGCTTTAACATTTAATTAAATTTTATTTTACAATTGAACCAGCCTCTTGCAAACCAGTGGAAGCATTTGTACAAGGGAAGCCGAAATAAAGCTTTCAGATCAAGAATCAAATCAAAAGAATTTGTTGACAAAGACTACTGAACAGTCTTTCTGGTTTTCCCCCACTATCCATGTGTTTTTTCCCTGTCTGTACATCCGTCCGCATGTTCAGTAAGGGGAAGTTTATAAGGGGAATAGGATTTTATTTAGTGCGATATGCCAACAGATACAGTTGCAGATGACACTAAACTCGGAAGAAATGTAAAATGTGAGAAGAACTGTGTGGAACTTGAAAATGACATTGACAAGTTGCTGGAGTGGGCGAATAGATGGCTGATGAGGATCAGTGCAAAGAAGTATAAGGTGGTTCACTATGGGGAACAATTCTAAAGCGGGTACAGGAACAAGGTTTATATGTGTACAGATCATGGAGATGACAGGAAAGGTGGAGAGAGCAGTTAATAAAGCATAGTGTTTTCAGCTTTGTTAATAGAGTACAAGAGCAGGTAGGTGATGTTGAACTGTACAAGATACTTGTTAGACCTCAGCTGAAGTACTGAGTACAGCTGTGGGTGCTACGTTATAGGAAGGAGGCAAATGTGAATACAGAAGCAATTTACAAGAATGGCTCCAGGAATGAGAAACTTATGTTGTAAGGATAGATTGAAAACGTTGGGACTGTTCTCCTTAGAGATAAGAAGAATGAGGGGAGATTTGTTAGAGGTTGTCAAGATCATGAACAGTCTGGATAGAATAAATAGGGAGAAGCTGTTCCTGCTCATAAAAGAGAAAAAAGTGATAGGACATGGATTTAAAGTGATGTGCAAATGGAGCATGGGTGATGTATAAAAAAAACTTTACATGTACGAGCGAGTAGTTTGGGTATAGAATGCACCGCCTGGAAATGTGGTATAGGAAGGTTCAATTGAGGCATTCAAGAGAGTATTGGATCATTATTTGGATAGAAATAATGTGCAGGGATATGGAGAAAAGCAGGAAATTGACACGAGATAATAGAACTAATACAGAAACAATGAGCCAAAAGGCCTCCTTCTGCTCTGTAACAATTCTATGATTTGGTTTATCATAGAATTCCTACTGTATGGAAACAGGCCCTTTGGCCCAACAAATCCACACTGACCCTGAGAGTATTCCACCCAGACTCATCCCTGGACACTATGGGCAATTTAGCATGGCCAATCCACCTAGCCTGCACATCTCTGGATTGTGGGAGGAAACCGGAGCACCCGGAAGAAACCCATGCAGACATGGGGAGAATGTACAAACTTCACACAGACAGTTGCCCAGGAGTGGAATCGAACCTGGGGTCCCTAGCACTGTGAGGCAGCAGTGCTAACCACTGAGCCACCGTGCCACCCAATTCAAGCCAAGCTGTTTACCTGTAGCTAGAGTTTAATTAAATGTGATAAATAGTAATTCTTGTTAAGTACAAAACCTGGTTAATGTTTTCTATCAAGTCTGAAAGTTGGGTGAATTGGGGATTTTCTGTAGTTATTTATGATTGTTAACTTTTGTGATGAATCTGGGAACGATGAGTCTTGATACCCAGTGCACTACCCCAGTGAGTCATGAGTGTAGCAAGATCTACAAGGATCATGATCTTTAATTGGAGTAGTGCAAAGCCTCAAGAGCTACTTAATTCAATTGTTTTAGCTTCCATTCACCATCAAGGATGAAAAGTTGCTTGAGCGAGCTACAATCAAAATTCAGCATAAAGATACAGCATTTTGCTTCAGAGCTATTCTAATAATAACTGGGATGTGTCCTTTTAATCTTTCATGGGAAATGGGCATTATTGGGAAGACTTATTTATTGTTTATCCTTAATTGCCTTTGCACTAAGTGGTTTTACTAGGCCATTTCAAAGTCAACCACAGTATTGTTGCCATGTAGGTCAATCCAGAGAAGAACAGCAATTTACTTCCCTAAAGGACATTAGTGTAGCCAGATAGGTTTGTTTTACAATGATTGATGTTGGTTGGTGGTCACCATTCCTGAGGCTAGTTTCATATTCCATATTTATTAATTTAGTTTAAATTCCACCAGCTGTCATGAAGTTGAATCCATATTGCCAGAGCAATAGCTTGGCTCTATGAATTACTAGGCTAATGATTATGCTGCTGTCTACCCACAAAGGCGCATACCGAGATTGCAGGTGGAACAGGGATGGGGACAGGGATCAGTGGTGGAGAGAGCAAAGAAAGAATTTGCATTCATGAGGCACCTTCCATGACCGCAGGATCTCCCAAAGCACTTTACAGCCAACTAAGTACTTCAGAAGTGTAGCCAGTTGTAATATTGAAAATTCAGCAGCCAATATGCGCACAGCAAGGCCACACTAACAGCAATGTGACTACGGCTAAATAATGTGTTTCAGTGATATCAGTCAAGGCATAATTAATGATCAGAATGCCAGGAAGAACCCCCCCAACTCTTTTTTCAAAATTGTGCCATGGGATCATTTACATTCACCTAAGGCACAGATGGTACCTCAATTTAATACCTCACCTGAAAGTTGGCACCTCCAACACGATACTCTGTACTGAAGCTGGAGTCACCAACCTGGATTTGTGTGCTCGGGCTTTTGGTGGACAGCTTGATCATAATGAAGGTAAGCTATTGAGGAGTCTGCTCACATAAATAAATCACTTTGAAAGGTTATGGGGAGAAGTAACGTTATGCTTATCTCATGAACATCATCTTAAACTGCAGTGGAGTTCTAAGCAGGCAAAACAACAGCACTGAAAGAGATGGTGACCTTCAGAAAGCGATTTCAATGATTTCTTACAAGAGACTCCAAAGAGACCATCTCTCCTTCCCATTTCAGTCAGATAAGGCGTGCAGGCTTTGTTGAGAAAAGCCATTTCCTCCAGAGCTGTCTTTACCCTTTTAAGCAGTGACAAGTTGCATCCACAAAAAAATTCAGATTTAAATCTAAACATTTATGTAAAATGACCTGCTACCCACCCCTTTCCAAAGTCATGATATTGGGTGCATTTAGACACAAGTTTGAGTTTTGCAATATAATCCTTCAGACTTGGAACTGTACTTACAACTTCTCCGAAATGAAAACTACTCAGCTTCTATCACAATTTACATTGCTGATTAAAAAGTAGGGAATCTTAAAAGATGGAACCAGGTTACTACTATGCACTTATAACTTATCTTTCAAAGAAAACTTTAGCAAAGTATATTTAGATTAGATCAGCAAAGGTTTTATCTAAATAAAGTAAAGTATAGGATTAGGAAACAATTTGATGGTATAACACCGATGTACTGTATGATTCAATGAGTTAGAATGTTGTTACGATATGTTGCACGATAATCATCAACGTAGCATGGTGTCAAGTGAAGCAACAATAATACATTGATAACAGACAACCTGAATTGCTGCTTAAAAAGAAATTCTCTTTCTCCAGTCTTCCTTCACATTTGACCAGAAATCCAGAATTAAACCATTCTTACTCCACTGAATACATGACACATAACAGTCCTGGTCATCCTTGGGTCCATTTATTCCATTCTTAGCATTTGGAACTTAACAGACGTAACAAATTGGGTCCCAGTTTGGAAGGTATGACAGCAGCATGATAGCCACAGAAACTCATAGATGGTGCAACTATTGGTTGAATATATTGGTCACTTAATCCCTTTTACTGAAAATCACTTTCCCACATCATTCCGATTTTTATTTTTCAGTGATAGCAATTAATGTTTCTGCGACAGAAAGAAAATTCAAGGATGTTAAGTGGACACATAGAAACAAGTAGATGTGAACATAGTAAATTGTTAAGAATGTATAAAATAATATTTATATGCATTTGACAGATTTAGTGGTGTATTGGCTGCTGCTCCATGTGTAAAACACATCATATAATTAAATTGTTATTCACTAATTGTACATTAAAACAGGGCTTATTTTCATAATTGGTAAACATATGAATCACTTAGAATACTGGGTACCAGCCAAGCACCTAATGCTCTTTTTTAAAAAAAAGTTAAGTCAGTTTTGTTTAATTATTTGTAGGCTTGAAAATCCAAGAGAAATCTATGAATTATACAGCTGTCCTTTTTTTTAAACCAGAACAATTTATTGATACAAGCAGTTAACAAAAAGAAAAACAGAGAAACTTTTCCTTTAAAGCCATGTTAATGATTGTCAAACATAAAATTGTACATTATTATATTATATTGCGTTTGTTATACAGTTAAACAGACCACCTGAGCTGAGTAAAACTTAGTTTTTTAAATTTCAAATCATATCACCTTTTGATATTACCTCCCACTCCCCAAAAAGAAAAAGCAAAAGAAAACACGCAGCAAGTTCAATGCATGCTTCTGAATTTCTAAGTCTGGGGAAATCAGCATTTCAACAATAAAAATAAACAGCTAACAACATCCAGAATTTCATGGTGGTTGAATATATGCAATGTGCCTGAATTCATTTAATTTCTCTGTTGATAGAATTTAAAACAAAGTTAGGAAAAATGCACACAGTACAACTGCCACCCACTTATCCCCACCCCCAACCTCCCATTCCATCCTGAGCCTTTTGCCATCTGGCTGGCTTTCACCTTGCTTCTTGACATTACTGATATAAAGTGACGTTCTACACTTTCAGCTTTGTTCATTAACACAATTCAGCTATGGGACCCTCAGGCTTTAGTGCTAAGGTCAGGAAACAAAGGGAAATTTACCGGGTCATCCAGTCTAATTTCGGGCTATGTTTCTTCCCCCACTTTGTGGTTCCCCTGATCACTCCCTGAGATTGAGGTGAACCCCCCCTGAAAACACCTATTCAAATTGTTCTTGAACATGTGTCAGTGTTCTACTACACCCCTTTACTGTCACAACTGAAATAAGCAATTTTGTGCAATAGAAATGGGGGTATACACCAACATACAGACCAATGTAAAACTTCACTATATTGCTTTCAAAACCATAAATGGATAGTATAAATGGATGCATTAAATTAACTTGGACAATACAGTTATGGGCAGCAAAATTATTAAAATTCCTTTGTTCAGTGAAGTCAATGTGACCAGCTGGCTCTCACTCCATTAGGTCATGGCTCTGTACTCCCACTCATTGCTTCGTAAGCAATTAGATTCCCAAACACAGACATACGAGCAGACGCATGGAATGCATGTGCCATACTGAGTATGTCATGCTTTGAATAGTACATCTGACGGAATATCAGCCATGGGTGTCTTGTGATACAGCTTCCTACCCAACTAATGTCATGCTTCTTGGATTCCACCAATTTCCATTTCTTGTTCTTCTTTAGCTGGCAGTTCAATCATAACTACTTCTGACCTGTCCTCAGTGTAACACTCTGCCAAGGCAACTGTTGCCACTGGATGACTGGATGATGACATGTCCTCATTCACCAGCTCCATCATGTGCTGTGGATAAACTTCAGTTACTGCCCTTGAGTGATTGCCATTCACAACGCTGTGCGGTACCTCTGTCACAATCACATGAGTTGCTTCTTCAGACAAATGACCTGTGGTCTCTTGAACCATGGCTTGTAGTACTTCCTCCGTAATTATTATCTGTGATATTTCACCAGATGAATCTACCAGACGCATTGGATGTCCATTGGTAGTTATAGTTTGTTCTTCGCCTTCTTGTAGTATGATCTGGGATGTCCCCTCAACCACATGTGTGGTCCCTTCCTTAGCAACTATGACACGAGCAATGCCATCTTTCACAACATGGTTTGTTGTCCTCATATCACACATTGTGAACTGTAATACCTCCTGTACCACATCACTGAAAGCAACTTGGGATTCTTCTTGTGTGGTAGTCACAGATATTTGCTGCTCAATGTTTGACACAGTTCCCTCAGCTTCGGTAGTTTCTTGGACAGTTTGGTCTTTGTGGAATGTCTCTGTTCCTTCGTACACTGATTCTTTTTGGGTTAAAATGACCTTCTCGATGGCAGAGTTCACTGAGTAAGACCCCTCTTGTGTAGACTCACTCCCTTCCTGCTCAGCTGATCTTGCCTCTACTGCACCCACTTCTGTGACGGCACACAGAAGTGCAACCAGTGCTGAGGGCCTCTCCGATGTGGGCATTTTCGCCTCCTCTTGTGTCACTACTTGTTCAACATGATCGGAATCTGCCAGGGTTTCCATGGCAATGGCCGCTTCTGTAGCACTCCCTTGTTCAGTTGGCTCCTTTCCTGCTGCAAGCTGGGTGGCTCCTGATATCGGCTGTTTTGTGAGAGTCTGCCCAGGAACGATGTTGCCCACATGGGCGGTGTCCTGAGTTGTGTCAATGATTTGGCCATCTTCAGTGATATGCATCACTTTCGCCACCTGAGTCATTTGACCCACCATTGCCATAGTCTGGAGAGTTGCCGCTGCAGTAGCTTCAACTGAAGCATCAATGGAAATCTCCTCACCACATCCAACTTGGTAGCCTTGAATTATAAACACTTGCCCAATGGACTCAGCTGATTCCTGCTGTTCAATGCAGCTGCCAAGTGGATCACCTGTGATTTCAGTAGAAACTACTCGAGGTGGATTGACTGGAACAGCCGTTTCAACAAACTGTGCTCCTTGGCCCTTAAGTCTACATTCATACGCCTTGGAAACTATCCCTGGAATTTAGATAAAATAAAAATATTAGTTATGCTTGAAAAGAATGTGAGAAGAAAAAAATATTTTATCCAGTACTGATCTCAGGAAGTACTGCCATTATGATTAACAAACTCTTTTGATATAGGTACTGATTAAACATCATAAAATACCGCTCTAGAAATATCTTTCCATTTGTCAGAAATGTACAACAATATAGAAATTGAAGATCTGTTTGTACTTTACGATAATGAAGCTTAATTAGCTCACAAGAAAAGTTTATATCTTTAACAGTGGTGTTAGCCATGGCTCTGACAGCTCTTACCCAGATGGTCTTGCGCTAAAGGCAAACTCCAGATGTTTGAACACATAGTCTAGGCTGACACTCCAGTGCAGTACTGAGCAAGTCTCGTACTTTCTGAAGTGTTGCTCTTCAGATGAGATGTTAAACTTGGTTGCCCTCTCAGGTGGATGAAAAAGATCCCACAGTTCTATTCTGAAGAAGACCAGGAGAATTATCCCTGATATCTTGGCAATATTTATCCTTACTCATCATCATTAAAACCTATTCCTATCTGGTCATTGTCATATTACTGTTTTTGAGAGCTTGCACTAGTTAGACTGGGTGCATGCTTCCTATATCAAAAAGAGTAACCTCGTTCCAAAAGGATTTCATTGGCTGCAAAGAGTTTGGGACATTCTGAAGTTGTGAAGTGCGCTATATAACTGTTTTTCTTTATCCTCAGTAGTATTTCTGAAATGATTGACTTCAAAATGAATGTTCGACATCTTCTGGAACTATCTGCTGGAATACTGTTCAACCTTGTGCATCATACGGTAGATATTTGTTAGCGGCCACTTTTAGACAGAGAGATGATAATGTGACAAAACATTTGTCCAGAGAGAACTGACACAGAAGATTCAAATCAAGAGGTCTGAACCCAAAGGCCTAAGCATGGGGACCAGTCTAAAAACAATGCCTCCAGCCTCATCAGGATTAATTGAGCAAGCTGCTAACAGCTTGTCATGCTTACGTAAGCTCATCCACTTGGAGAAGGGATGTCAGGAACCTTACCTTGTCACTGTAGTGCATAAGTTATGTCTGGGGAAAGTGGAAGCAGGCTAGTGGACGGGGTGGAAGAAAGTGGAACACTATATCAGCGGGTAACACTCCTAATCCTAGTGACAGTGGAATTTTAAAACTACTTCTCAGTAAAGAATTGCCCATTGCCAATTCAGGAAACATTGATCAAAAATCTCCCTTTGATCTGTGGTGGTCTCATTTTGTTTCACAAAATTTCACCTAATGTCTTCTCAAAGGACAGTACAAATTCAATCTCATTACCACTCTGGGACATTTCAGAAACATACCCAACTCTTTGTCACCTCAAACAATGTATCATTGATATCAATGCCCTTAATAACTTTAAAGTTCTGAGATCCCATAAAAGAACGAAAATATAGAAAGAAAGCCCATTTTCATAATGCAATGCTCGTAATTCTTGATTCAGTTTGGATTTCACCAAAGCTCTCGACAAGGTCCCATACAAGAAACTGATAAAGAAGCTCAAGGGATCCTGGCTATCTTAGAAAGTTGAATACAAAATATATTTAGTGAAAGGAGACAGAGGGTGGTGGTAGAAGGCTGTTTGTGTGGTTGGAGCCTGGTGTGCTGGGTCCGTTATTGTTTGTGACATTCTTAAATGATGTACAGGCAGTTCTGCTATAACGTGTGTTTTGTTAACATGAATTAGCTGTAACGTGGTTGATGAATAGTGGGCGCTATTTGGATAACACAAACTTTCTGCTGTACATGTATAGCGATTTTGTATAACGATTTCCCTATAACGTGATTTTAGTTCACACAAGAATGCAACTATTGCATTATAGGAAATCTACCTGTAGATAAGGATGTGGGAGGATTGATAAATAAGTTTGCAGATGACACAAAGACTGGTTGGGTTGTTGACAGTAAGAAGGAAGGTGTTAGGTTACAAGAATGTATCAATGGAACAGTCAGATGGGTAGATCAGTGACAGAAGGAATTTAATCCTGATAAATCTGAGGTAATGCACTTTGGAAGAAACAATAAAACAAGTTGTATGTAATGAATGGCAGAGCACAAGGAAGCTCAGAGAAATCTCAGGGTGCTTGTTCTCAGATCCCTGAAGGTGGCAGGACAGGATGATAGGGTTTGAGTCAAAACATAGATTATAAGAGTAGGGAGGTTAAGTTGGAGCTGTACAGAACTTTGATTAGGCCACAGAGTACTGTGCGCAGTTCTGGCCAATACGTGAGAGGGAGGATGTGATTGCAGTGGAGGGAAAACAGAGGAGAATCACCAGGACATTTTCTGGAATCGAGCATTTCAGCTATGAAGAGAGGCTGGGTGAGCTCAGCTGGTTTTCTTTGGAGCAGAGAAGTTCGAGTGGTAAAATATTATGAGGGGTATGGACAGGGTGGATAGAAAGCAGTTGTTACCTTAGTCAAAGGGTCAGTAAGAATGTGGCATAATTTTATAGTGAAAGACAAGATGTTTGGAGGAGTTTTGAGGGCAATGTTTTTTACCAAGAACATTGTGGGTGTCTGGAATGCACTGCCTGGTATGGTAGTTGAGGCGGATAACCTCACAACTTTAAAAAAAATACTTGGATGAGCACATTAAGTGCCATAACATTCAAGATTATGGGCCTAGTATGGGGTAATGAGATTAGTGTAGGTAGTAGTGTGTTTTTGGTGGTACAGACTCAATGGGCTGAATGGCCTCTTCTGTACTGTATGATTCTATGATCATTCTCATTCTTTTCTGTATATGTGGGCAAGAGGTGCTGTAATTGTATTGCTTTCTCTAGCCCAGAAGTTCTGGATTCAAGTCCCATGTTAGGACTTGATGGCTATAGATGGTGCGTTGTAACATGCCCAATCTGTCAATAAGTGAGCTTACTGTTCACTTTAACAAATTTAGGTCTTAGCGAATATTTCCATTTTTCTCCCTGGAAATCACAGGTGACAATGTGATGTGGTGTGCTGATATTTTAGGGGATATGGGGTGGGAGCAGATTTATTTGGGTTACCTTTTTGGAACACTTTACCGAGACCTTGACATCGGTTTCCTATCTTTTAAACTTTTTCGGCAATATCTCGGGCATGACTGTGCAGCAATCCGAACCTGTCCCCACAAATCTGCCTGTCTAAATTGTCAGGTTTATGTGGCTGCTGAAAAAAAAATTAGAGGCACCAAACACAAATAAATCAGCTGTGCCTATCACTAAAAAGAATTGACGAGAACTCTGCACCAAGACGACTGTAGCTTTACTATTTTTCATTTTTTCCTGGTGTGTTTGTTGCTTTCTGTGCAGTTCTGCGACTCTGTCTTCTGTCTTATGTATATCTTTGGGACATTAGTATACCAGAGTGATATCGAGCATCATGATTTGTAGGCAGAGGTTTTATCAGAAGAACCAAAGAAAACCTCTTGGCAGTGAAGTGTATTCAATTCTGGTCTCCTTGCTATAGGAAAGATGTTGTTAAAGTTCAGAGGGTGCAGAAAAGATTTACGAGGATCTTGCCAGGGTTTGAGGGTTTGAGCTCTAGGGAGAGGATGAATAGGCTGAGGCTATTTTTCCTTAAGCATCGGAGGCTGAGGGATGACCTTATAGATGTTTATAAAAGTCATGAAGGGCACGGGTAGGTTGAATAGTCAAGGTATTTTCCCAGGGTAGGGTAGTCCAAAACTATAGGGCATAGGTTTAATGTGAGAGGGGAAAGATTTAAAAAGGACCTGTGGGACAACTTTTTCACACAGACGATGATGCATGTATGGAATGAGCTGCCAGAGGAAGTAGTGCAGCCTGGTACAATTACAACATTTAAAAGGCATATGGATGGGTATATGAATAGCAAATGGGACTACATTAATTTAGCATATCTGGTTGGCATGGACGAGTTGGACCAAAGGGTCTGAGTCCATGTTGTACAATTTATGACTCTGAAGTCTATGTCAGGCAGTAAGAGTGGCCATTTAGCCAGACCTCCACATTTGTTGGCTGCAAACAGCCTCTTGTGTTAAAAAAAAACCACACATAGATTTTTGCCATGACCAGGTGCCGTCTTTGTTCTTAATTATACACACACACGTATTTCGGCAACTTTTTAAGAAAAAAGAAACTGTTTCACAATCATTTTCAAATAGTTTCACTTGATACCAACAAAAAGAAATCTACACAAATGAGTTTTATTGTCCCAAACTCCTATTCAGACAAATAATATTATGCTGGTTCTTCTGAGGAGTGGCTTTTTCATCAGCAGGTAGGTCAAGGGGAGGGTGGCTAGATGTATGGGGAGAGGGGGAGAGCAGCTGGCTCTTGGGTGTACCAGGGCTGTGGCGGGGTGCCCAGGGGGCTTTGGGATCAGGTATTTGGACAGATGAGGGGGTCAGTGTGAGTGACTGTGTGGAGGGTCTCAGTTTTATAGTTAGTCGTGAATTAGACCAATTTTTAATTCCTATACTTCAATCTCCAATGCTTACAGTAACATATGTGTATTGAATAGCCACTGAGCAGGTTAGGTGGAAAGAGATGAGAAGGTGGGGTTATTCATTAAGAGCATAAACAGTACGATGGAAGGGTTTGCCGTCTATTTCAACATAATGGATAGCAGCCGTCAAAAAGTTGGACCAAACCAACTGGTGCTAAAAAGATTAAATGGAAGAAATTCACTCTCTTGAATTAACAACATTAAATTTGGAATAAAGGGAATGAAAATTTAGGAATGATAGGTGTTGAGAACTTTGAGGCATGCCAGAAAAAATCCCTTAATTTTCAAAATTGTTCTCAATTAAGTGAGCCAAATTGCATCATTGCTTACATACTGTCATTCTTTAGAAGCATGGCTTATTGTCCATGTTGCTGACATCAATGGGAGGTCCACAACTAATTTGTAAACCAAAAGACCACCAATGCAAATGTACAAATTTCCAAATGGGAAAAGAAAGGCATATAAGGATGTAATCATTTCTTCAATA